ATGGTGATGACCATTGCACTATGCAAAGCAGAGAGTAATACATCAACAGCCGATACCGCACCGTTACGCCACAAACCGGTAGGTGGTAGTAGTGTTCTTTAACAAACATGGATGTCTCCAGTTAAAAGAAAGTTACGGTTTTTAACACTTTTAGCCCATTTTCTGTAGTGTCCAGGATGAAATCGAATGATCGACACCAAAAGTTTGACAATTGCTCCTGTCTCTGCTATTTGGCTCATGCAGAATCCCCCCCTGGCTGCTTCAGAATGGCTTCCATAGTGCATGTCCAATAATGTCCTTAAAACAACCTTAAACGTTCTTTTTTTAAAATATGCTACTCACCGGGTCGTCAGCGCTGTTCAATGACGTTCCAAAAAAAGTTTCGTGAAGAAAAAACGTTCCTGTAGTGTTTTATTTAGCATTTTGTAAATCCCATTGAGTTCTGTTGGAATAGTCAATATCCCTCCGCCACCGGAAACGGAAAGGGGGCCTGTTTACGCTTAGTTGTAGTCTTTTCGCAAGGCCCAAGTGTTTCTGCTTCACTCTGTGTACTCCGACGTCGAGGTGCTAACGTCTCTGTTAAACACTTTAAAAAACTCTGAAAATGGAATACGAAAGGTGGATTCTTGAGGAGGACATATTGGACTTTGAGTTTGACGGTAGAGGATACCGTCGCCAACTAGTGGTCTGGAGTGTGCAACGCTTCAGATTCGAACGGGAAGCGGAAGTTTATAAGCGGTTGTGATGTATCGGAAAAAATAGTTCTGGGATTTACAAAATGCTAAATAAAACAAGACAGGAACGGTTTTTCTTCACGAAACTTTTTTTGGAACGTCATTGAACAGCGCTGATGACCCGGTGAGTAGCATATTTAAAAAAAAGAACGTTTAAGGTTGTTTTAAGGACATTATCGGACATGCACTATGGAAGCCATTCTGAAGCAGCCAGGGGGGGATTCTGCATGAGCCAAATAGCAGAGACAGGACCAATCGTCAAAATTTTGGTGTCGATCATTCGATTTCATCCTGGACACTACAGAAAAGGGGCTAAAAGTGTTAAAAAACGGAATTTTCCTTTAAGCACACTCAGATGAAAAGTACTCTTAATCAAAAATACTTATAATTTATTGAACAGTATGTAATAGTTTCATATTTAAAGCCTGTGTTTTATATTTTGGCTGTGACTCCATCCTGGAGAGAAATATCCGCTGTGCTGCTGCCATCAACACCTTTGTTTATAGATGATGGAGATCGGCCTGTTTTCCAGTGAAGTCCTGTTTCTCTGACTGTGACTAACTGGATGTGCTCTCTTCATCCTCTGACATGGGAGCTTGCTCGGAGCTCGTCTGCCTGGCTGTGTGTTTCCTGGACGGGGCCGCTTATTACAGCTTCTTTTTCTATCTCTGCTTCCGTCTCCTTGAACCCCAATGGGCCTCAGCAGATGGCCGCTCACACTGAGCCTGGTTCTAATGGAGGTTTCTTCCTGTTCAAAGGGAGTTTTTCCTCTCCACTGTCGCTACAAGCATGCTTAATGTGAGGGACTGCATTCGAGTCAATGAGTCAATGCAATCAACTGGTTTTCCTTAGATAGAAAACTTAGAATCATTCTGACTGGATGATCTGGTTGAACTGTAAAGTGCCTTGAGATGACATGTTTTGTGAATTAGCGCTATAGAAATAAAATGAATTGAAAGTACTTTCAGAAGTTTGTATTCTGAATGTGTGTCTGAATTTTCCTTTAAGCTCAATATATGTGCCGTATTAACTGGAATTTGCATGCATATAGTTTCCCATCTGTAATGCAGCACTGGTTGTGTTCAAAGTTTCTGACTCATAGTAGCAGAATTCACTCAACACAACACCATGAGGTTTCCTGTAAACCCTTCATCAGAAAGCATGAAACGAAATGCTTCACACATCCGTCAAGCTAAAACATTAAGCTCAGTTTAGTTTGAGTCTTCAGAGGAAGCATCAAAGGATTAATCAGTGAAAAACGATGAGTTCAAACGAGAGCAGGAGAGGAGGGAGGGAGGGAGTGAGTAACGGTAAGGAGGTCAAAGGAGGAGCGGGTTAGCGGCGGATCAGAGGGAGGTGAGGAGGAGCTGAAAGACAGCCATGTAGGAGCACATAAAGGAATGAAGCTGTGTGTACGTGTGCGTGTGTATTGGAATGAGCTGGGTCTTCGTCCTCCCTGTAATTATACACCAGAAAGTAAAACTGATGACTCCCAACAGCTGCTGATGCCATGGTAACAAGAGGGCGGAGTAAAACCTGGAAATGTAGAGGAAACCAGAGACAGGAGGCTGCGTGTGTGAATGTGTGAGATTTATACCGACGGCCTCTGCCACCATGATTACAGCTCTGTTTACCTCAACAGAACACTTTCCGATCAGTAGATCGTCATCAAGAACCCCACAGATCATCGTCTGCTCCACCTAACTGGACCCGTGCATGTGGAGCTCCTCAGCACTTCTTTGAACCTCCTTCATCAGAATATAAACCCTCATGGCACAACTTGTACACTGCAAAAATGGGTCTAAATGAGTCATTTTTGCTTAAATTAAGTACATTTTTCTTGAATTGAGGAGGTAATTGAGAAAATTTGCCAATGGAACAAGACAATTTACATTTAAATAAGAAAAAAAAATTGCTTTGTCTTATTTCAAGTGCACATTGTATAATTCTCTTGTTTTAGGAGTAAAAATACTCATTCCATTGGCAAATCATCTTATTTATCTACTCAAATTAAGGGCAAGTACACTCAATTTAAGATTTTTTTCACTTAATTCTAGATGGTTTTTGCAGTGAGCAGATTTACATACTGGAAAACCATCTAGAAATAGGTAAAAAAAAAAAATCTTAAATTAAGTGTATATACTCCTAATTTGAGTAGGTAAAAGTGATAGTTCGATGAGTATGAGTATTTTTACTCCTAAAATAAGATAATTAGATATTATGCACTTGAAATAAGACAATGCAATTGTTTTTGCTTATTATAAATGTAAATCATGTTATTCCATTGGTAAAGTGTCTTACTTTCAAGAAAATTCAAGAAAAATGCACTTTTTTATGCAAAAATGACTTATTTAGATTTCTATTTTTTGCAGTGCAAACTTCTTCAAGGACCTTTTAGAACCACCTCTATTAGAGCATCATTGAGCATCTTGTGAAATCTCTTAAAACCTCCTCAAATTTTTTGTAGAGCCTCGTCCTGTCAAGGCTCATAATAGAGGACCCAGTTTTCAAAGCAGACAGTTTGATGTCTCAATAAATCATTTATTTAAAGTAACGGATTTGCAGTCTAAGGCAGGAAGCTCTAGAGCAGGGGTTGGCAACCCAAACTGTTCAAAACTGTTCAAAATTGGACCAAAAAAAAACAAATCTTTCTGGAGCCGCAAAAGTGTAAAAGTCTTATAAAAGCCTCATATGGCAACACAGGCTCTAAGTGTATAAGTGCATTTTTAAACAAGCTGAAAAGAGAAACCACATCGACTAGATGTAACTTTTTATCTGCAGTGATAATATGCTGTGACTACTGTTTGAAAAACAACACAAGCATAAACGAAGAAACTGAATGACCCCAAACCCAAAAAAGAATAAAAAATTAAAAAAATGAACAAAAACAGATAATCTGTTCTGGCCTGAACACATTACCTCACAGCTTCGTCCTGTTCTGCATGGACCTGAATTATGCTCTTGCTTTGATGTAATTAAACATCTCTAGATGTATTCCTGTAAAAGCTTCTGTCACATGGATTTGGGCTTTAGCGTCAGACAGTAGACTTCTCGTCACTGTAGTTCTGGACTCATTGAAGACTGGATTACAAATGCATCTTCATGCAAAGTTTTAAAATCTGGTGAAATTTTACCAAATAAGGTGATCAGAAATGGATAAGATGAGAAATTTCCTGACCCAGCGAGGACTTGCTTCAATAGGAGAAAATCTGGTTGAAAAAAACGAATTATCGTATTATATGCCACCAAGTGGTCAAGGTTTGAAATGCTATGTGTTAAAATGACAGAAGGCTTACAGATTTGTCTGTCAAGCTCTTTGACTTAAAGATAACTGAATCTCTTAAACTTCAGTGATCAAATGGATTAACTAATCAAGCAGTCAGGAGATAAGAATCATATGTAATTCAATTCTGTTTATTTCTATAGCACCAATTCACAACACATGTCATCTCAAGGCACTTTACAGTTCAACCAGATCATCCAGTCAAATTGATTCAAAGTTTTCTGTCTAAAGAAACCAGTTGATTGCATCGACTCATTGACTCTTCAGCAATCCCTCACACTAAGCATGCTTGTAGCGACAGTGGAGAGGAAAATCTCCCTTTGAACAGGAAGAAACCTCCAGCAGAACCAGGCTCAGTGTGAGCGGCCATCTGCTGAGGCCCACTGGGGTTCAAGGAGACAGAAGCAGACATAGAAAAAGAAGCATAGATACAAAAGGCAACTGTCAACCAGCTCCACAGGCGGCCCCGTCCAGGAAACACACAGCCAGGCAGACGAGCTCCGAGCCAGCTCCCATGTCAGAGGATGAAGAGAGCACATCCAGTTAGTCACAGTCAGAGAAACAGGACTACACTGGAAAACAGGCCAAGCTCCAACATCTAGAAACAAAGGTGTTGATGGCAGCAGCACAGCTGATATTTCTCTCCAGGATGGAGTCACAGCCAAACAGGAACAGACCAGATGAAGCTACTATGAGAAAAAGCAGAGAGAGCAGAACGTTAGAGATTGAACTAACAGATTCTGCAGAGTGGGAGAATAGAGAGAGAATGATGTATTTAAAGTCTGGAAGTACTTTTGGCTTTTTTTTTATGCAAAAGATGTGTTTAATCAAAGCGTGGCCTCCTATTGGCTACAGCACCACTGATTAAACCTTATAGTTTTTGCTAAAGTTCCAAGATTTTTGTGTTTGTTCAATTTTGTGATAAACAGCACCGACGTGTACATTTTAAGATATTTGTTTATTCTTTGTGTTTCTTTTGTCAGAAAGCGGTTGCTAGACAGTAGAGGAGCCTGGGTAGTACTACAAAATGTCAATATGGCACCTCTGCTGCCCCCAGTTGGTGCGGAGGTGTTTCGACGCTTCACACCAGCCTCATTGGAAGAAATTCAACGGAGGCATGAAATTGAAGAGAAGGAGAAGCAACACAGAAAGGAGCAGAACATTGAGGTACGAATTATCTACAAGCCGTCTATACATCCGTCCGTTAGGACATGACAATAACAAACCCAACTCTGCTCTGAATGCATACTCTCTTACAGATAGCAGAGGAGGATCTTCCTAAACCAGCAAGCGATCTGGAGGCTGGGAAGCCCCTCCCTTTTATTTATGGCGAGCCGCCCCCTGAGTTTCTCAATACCCCATTGGAGGAACTGGATCCTTTCTATCAATCACAGAAGGTGTAACCATTCTCTAAAATCTGACATAGCAACCTTCTTTTCAGTAGAAGATGGATGATAATACAACAGGTTCACTAAGAGGAGATCAGCATTAATACAAAAAACGTACTCCTGACAATTTGCCAGAAGCATTTAAAAACTTTTTTAAATAATAGATCTTGTTCCATCTCCTCTGGTAGTTGACTTCCAACATTGTTCAGATCACAATAACCAGGTTTTCTGAATCACATCAGTGGTTTAAGTGCTTGGAAAAGCTTAACAATGAGGTTAAAGGTTGGGTGGTTCATAACATCCTTTAAACATTAAATGATTGCTCCTTGTTTGCTTTGTGGTCCCCAAGATCATGAAAGACCCCGAGACAGTTTGAAAAAACATCAGAATATTCATCATAAGGTCATTTTAAGGCCTAGTTCACACAAAAGTGAAAAATAATATACTATCATTAAAAAACTTGTAAGAAAAAAAAGTTGGGTCCAAACAAGTGTACTCGTTCCAAATCCACTCTACTTTGTTTCCTAGTTTGAAGATGTTTTGCTTCCCATCCAGGAAGCTTTTTCAATTCAAAATGTCAGAAATAGCATTGAGTTTGAGGCTTTATACAGTAGCCCAACAAAGTCTTGTTTTTGCTTAGAAAACATGCAAAATGAAACAGATGAATGGGTCCACCCCTTTGGAATTGGGGTCTTTGGCTTGTTTTGTTAGTCTGCAATGCCCCATACCTGTCTATGTCTCTGAAAGGGGTGTTGTTAGAGGGAAGTGTTGGCCTGGCTGAATAGGCAAGGTCTTCTGTTCCCTTGTAAAGGGATTAGGATTGAAATGATATCAGGAAGGGATCGACTCAATTGCTGCATTGTAGATAGCCTCGTGAGACCATCCTGATCTCGCGAGCTTTCAAGGTTTCACTCGCAGATCAGTCTGGAGACTCTCCGTTAAAGAAAATTTGTAGCCGTTCATCCAAACGAACGTCCAATCAGCGTTGGCTTTGAGGCGGGTTGAGGTGTGACGCAACGAGAAGCGCGACAGTTCAGTCTAAAGAACATGGCGGCTTCAGCCGATGAAACTAGCGTTAGCGTGGCTATCGAGCAAGTTTTATCGGAATTACAGAGTATTTCTTCACTGAAAGAAGAGCAAAACACTGCTCTGGAGGCTTTTCTCAGAGGAAAAGATGTTTTTGCTCTTCTCTTTCAGCAAGAGTAGCCTGGCTGTTAGTACGTCATATGCTTCGTTGATCTGATTGGTTTATTTGGCCCGTCTATCACCAACATAGACCAATCAGCTAACCAGTATTTTCGTCTCTTCCCAAAATTACTTCAACCGAAGGTTTCCAGATGGATATGCGGAGCAAATCCATCTGGCGGAGTCAGGTTACATTGTAGGTTTCTGAAAGCTGAAATCTGAGTCCCTCCCTTCTGTTTAAGGTTGGAACAGCACTAATGAAGACACTGCAGTACATATGCCAGGTCATTTGGTGGCGCTGTGAGGATGTGAGAGAGTCACACCCAAACTGCTGATAAAAACATAAAATATGAGCATGCAGCTCATGAGAACTAAACACAGCAATAAAGCAGTAAAGACGTGCATGTGGGTTACAGAAGTAGGTTGAGCTAGAATTTGCGGCTGGCATGAACACACTGACACATGAAACCAGAGTTATCAGATCTGTTCACCCTGGAACCCAGTTTTAACAATGGATACTGGGTCGAGTGATACATAAAAAGATGGCTGCATTTGGTTGCAGAGGTTAAAGGATAAATCGCCTTGACTGTTAAATCTAATATTGTCTCTGTTTTAATATGGATAATGTTTTTTTTTTTTATGCAATGAAATAACCAATGTATTGATCAGTCAACCAAGCAGAGACTGGCTGCTCAGATTCGATCAAAGATGAAACTATAACACTCTGGCTTTTGATTTATTCAAATACAGGCTTTAGTCGAATTAGGATGCAAAACAAAAAATATGAAGTTATAATAATGCTGAGAAAATAACTTTGACTCCATTCATTTTTTTCTTTCTCCTCTGTCTCTGCAGACCTTCATCGTTCTCAGTAAAGGAAACATCATCTACAGGTTCAATGCTGAGCCAGCATGTTACCTGCTGAGTCCCTTTAGCAATCTGAGGATCTTTGCCATCAGGATTCTCATTCATTCATATCCTTTCTGCTCCTGATGCTGAAGCTTTAGAAGCTAAACTAAACCTTCCAAGGTTTCCGAAAAGATTTACAGCAGCAGCCATTCAATATGGCCGTTCCCTGTCAAACGCCAGGCGAATGGCAGCCCACCCCCCTGCGACTTCCAGCAAAATCCCCTCCAACTTCCAGCCACTGGCCTTCTCCTGGGCGTGCAATTTTTTTTACTCTGACTCCACCCTTTCACTGAATTACAGGGTCTGACCAGGAGATGATGCTTCTCTTTAAATCTTAATGTCCACAAATCATGACAAAAAGAATATTTTAGTACAAAGATTGATGTTTAAAAAGGAACTGAAGGGGACCAATCAAGGAAAGTGAGGAAATTTTGAATGGCTGCTATTGTAGAATGAAACTGGAGGATTTTTTTTGTTTGTTTTCAGATCTTAGTGGCATTCCATCCTACATTTTATGCAGAAAAGCAGCTTCATTGTGTTGTCTGATGGAAAACAGAGGAGGTATAGGATCCCCATAAAGACAGGGTGACCCCAAAATCATGCTACATAAAGAATTAGAACAAAACCAGTAAATAGACGAGCCAAAGCAAGAGGGGAATATGAACAACTCTGTAATGGAGCCAGAGCAGAACCACCATTAAGTAAGAACAGAACCATAAAGGACTCAGAGTAAACCAACACAAAGGTGCAATGGAACAAACCCAAATAAAGGCTGGAACAAATCCACAGGGGAACCAGATCAAAACTGGAATTTAGACAGAACCAAGATACATCAAATACACAAATAAATAGAGGCACAAGGTGACTTAGTGTAATCAACCAAAGTGGAGAAGGAACTGAAAGGATCATGCAAGTTATTTAGCCGCTTCAGCTGAAAAGGTTTTATTCATGCAAAATCTGATAAACTGATTTCTTTCCTTAAAATTAAAACTTTATTCAGTTTGTTCATCATGGTGACAATCCTGACCAACTGTGTGTTCATGACGATGAGTGATCCTCCATCGTGGAGCAAGACGGTTGAGTAAGCACGCACGCACACACACACACGTTGTGTCACAATATCCTTGTGGGGACCTTCCATTGACTTCCATTCATTTCCCACTAATTTATATGGCCTAACTGTGACCCTTGCCCTAACCCTGTGGAATCCATGCCTAACCCTAACACCTGACCCTTGCCTTAAAATTACACTTAGCCGACCCCTAGCCTTGACACTTGCCCTAAACCTAATTTTAGCCCTTACTATCAACTTACCAGACCAATTAGCTACTGACCCTAATATTAGTGGAATTCATGCCTAACCCTAACACCTGACCCTTGCCTTAGAATTACTCTTAGCCGACCCCTAGCCTTGACACTTGCCCTAAACCCAATTTTAAGCCTTGCCTTAACCCTAAACCCCAGCCATTACTCTAAAAGCTAACCCTAGTTCTCCAAGTTTTACAAACTGGCTTGGCTATGGATCTGAGAGATACCAACGAACGTGCGTGGGCCCGTGCATTGCCTTTGATCCCCTAGCCAACTGCTCGGGTCGTCGGACTGGGTGGGGGGGGTCATTGAGAGAGTGTCTAACGCCTAACCATTACCGACACATACCTATCCCTAAACCTAACCTAAACTCAATTCACACCTTAGTCCTAAACCTAACCCCCACCCCAAGAAGAGAAAATTTCCTTATGGGGACCAGTTGTTGGTCCCCACAAGTACCTATGAGTCCCCAAAATGTAGCATATTCCTAGGAAATTTTCCCCACCAGGTATTAAAGACATGGCCACACACACCCACACACACTTTCCAAAATGACGAAACAAAAACACTGATTCATTTATCTCTTGTTTGAATAGATCTCCGGTTAAGCTCAGGAAGAGCACATTCCAAACTGCGGTTTGAGACAGTGTTGAAATTAAGTGTAACAGTTTGGGTTTCATGAAGTTGAAATTGTGTTCTTATCCTCTACGGTGGTAATTATTTGTGACTTTGCAATTTTATGTTTCATTTGATTTTTTACCTGTTTTTTAAAGAACTTTTGTATCTTAATGTAGAGGTATTGATCTGCAATCCTATCCTGCACTTGATTTTTGTTTATGTTCAATTCTGTGCAATGCAGCTGTACTGGAGAGGTAACAGTTTTTCTTATTTATAAATAGATTTATATCTGGTTTGAATACATGTTTTCAGATTAAGCTCAGGAAGAGAATGTTCCAAAATATTGTTTGAGACAGTGCTGAAGGTAAATGTTAACATTTTGCATTTACCTGAAGTTGAAATGGTATTATTCTTTAATATTTGTGAAATATTCAGTATCAAGTGAAGGTGGTTATGTTAAAAATTTTGTGACTTTGCATGTTTTGAAATCAGTTTGTATCGCATCGGGTTATATTGTAATCAGAACTTAAGTGTTTGGAATATTGCCATATCGAATATCTGCAAAAAAGGCAACATCGTGCATCCCTACACATTGATTTTGTTTTATTTTCTCATTCTTGTGTGAAGTTTATGACAAGTAGACCGTAGATAAAAGAGAACAGAGAGTCATACCGAAGTGCACAATTTAAATCACCCTCTGATGAACAGACTAATGGAACCTATAGAGGGAGCTGCTGTAAATTAAGGAAAACTCATTTTACAAGTTGGGCAATTGTAAGGACCTATATAGGAAAGAAAAAGTATACTTAGCAGTTATTTATATTTATTAGACCGTTTATTATGGGGCTGCGCATGGTGCCATTACAAAGAGTATAGACTTCCAATGTCCTTAAAACACATTAAAAGTACAATTTTAACATCAAAGCTCATAAATATGGCTTACAAGAAATCAATACTCAGAAAAGAATTATGATCATTATAAAAACTCATTATTGTGATATACCATGTTTCTTTTTAGGTGATGATGGTCCATCAAGATTTCCTTTGGCTTTCTGAAAATGTTGTCTTCTTGGTCCAATTTGATCCTTTATAACATTACAATTTCTATCTGTTGAGTTAACTGAGTTAATTTAAGAAACCAAGTTTTTTTCCCCGTTTTAATTAATGGCACTAATCTGTTTACTGTTAATTCCTGTTATATATAAGTCAGTCCAAAAAAGTAAAAAAAAAACACACAAAAAAACGATCCACTGGGCTTTGTTTTCAAGTTTGAAGACTTTCGCTTCCCATCCAGGAAGCTTTTACAATTAAAAATGTTAGAAGTAGTGGTAAGTTTTAGGCTTTATACAGTAAAGTATAAAAACCTACAATGAAGTAATTAAGCTGATTCCTTCCCCCTATCATCGCAACCTTAAAGGAATAGTACACCCAAAACATGATTAGCCTTCATTTTCTACTCACCCCCATGCTGAACAACACTCTGGAGTACTTTTTTGATATCTCAAATGCATCTGGAGATCTGGGAGGCTTCTTGCTGTCTGCTGACATTCAAATAATGGAGGTCTATGGCGCCCGAGGCAGAAAGGTCCATAAAAGTCCACAAAAAACGTGTCAATATTCCTCCATACTGCTCGTCCAATGTATTCCAAGTGTCCTGAGTGGGTAGCGTCCAGAATTTACTCGAAACGAAGTCATTTAGAATGTTTTTAGAGCATAAACAGTAGTGTATAGGATTTCCTGAAAGCGCGTTCACGAGTCTACGGAAACTGCGGCAGACCAAACCAGACGAAAGTGCGCATTCAGCTCGGCAAAGAACTCATGCTCTTCCTCAACACTGAAGTCCTCAGACATTTTTCTTTTGTTGTTTCTTTCTTTGCACAGGTAAACAGCACATTTCTTCTTCTACGCTTGCATTATTGGCAGAGCAGACGCTGAATGCGCACTTTCATCTGGTTTGGTCTGCCGGCTTCCGTAGCGTCATGAACGCGCATGTGCGCACTTTCAGGAAATCCTATACACTACTGTTTATGCTCTAAAAACATTCTAAATGACTTTGTTTCTAGTAAATTCTGGATGCTACCCACTCAGGACACTTGGAATACATTGGACGAGCAGTATGGAGGAATATTGACACGTTTTTTGTGGACTTTTATGGACCTTTCTGCCTCGGGCGCCATAGACCTCCATTATTTGAATGTCAGCAGACAGCAAGAAGCCTCCCAGATCTCCAGATGCATTTGAGATATCAAAAAAGTACTCCAGAGTGTTGTTCAGCATGGGGGTGAGTAGAAAATGAAGGCTAATCATGTTTTGGGTGTACTATTCCTTTAACCACTTCACAGGGTAATAGAAGACCTCACATATTCTGCCAGGCAAACAATTCCACTCAACAACACCCCTTTCAGAGACATAGACAGGTATGGGGCATTGCAGGCTAACAAAAGAAGCCAAACGACACCCATTCCAAAGGGGTGGATCCGTTTGTCCGTTTCAATTTGCATGTTTTCTAAGCAAAAACAAGACTTTGTTGGTCTACTGTATAAAGCCTCGAACTCAACGCTATTTCTGACATTTTGAATTGAAAAAGCTTCCTGGATGGGAAGCAAAACGTCTTCAAACTAGGAAAAAAAAGTCCAGTGGATTGATTTTTGATTTTTTTTTTTTAATTACTATGACCTGGATGACTGAGAATCTTCAACAGCATATTTAAGTCAGTGTTTTCTGTCCCCTCTTGATCTGGTCTTCCGTTCACATGTTTTACCATCACCTTGGTTACTTTGTGTCAGTAAACTGATCTTTTCATCCTTTTGGCACAATCATGACATTTCCGTCTTGCTATTGTTTGGCTTTTAGGACAGAAATGATGGAGTAGATGATTATTGGGTGTTTAAATGAAGAAGAAAAAAACGATTTAGAAATAAGTAAAAATTTCTTAACTTGAGTGTATTCACCCTTAATTTGAGTAGGTAAATGAGATAGTTTGCCAATGGAAGGAGTAATTTTACTTTTAAAATAAGATAATTAGATAATATGCACTTGAAATAAGACAATGCAATTGTGTTTTCTTATTTTAAGTGTAAATTGTCTTGTTCCATTGGCAAAATGTTTCTTTTACCTCCTCAATTCAAGAAGAAATGCACTTATTTTAAGAAAAAATGACATATAGATTTAGATTTTTTGCAGTGTGTGGTTATTTTTTCACCTCCTAGAAAAGAAAATGAAATATTCACATATTTAATATCTGTAAATATTGGCTATAATAGTAGCAATAGATAAGATAGATAGATCAGATAAAAATATTTGCCCCAAATTTTAGATTGTTTTATTCCTACAGAAAATCAAACCCAGAGGTCTGACCTCTGACCTGTCTGTAATATTCAAATAGATACTGAGTATGTTGGGTCCTTGTCTCAGATAATGTCTTTTTGTTGTTGGACAGATACGTGTTCACAGGCATCTACACATTTGAGGCAACCATCAAAGTTTTATCCAGAGGATTCTGTATGGGAGACTTCACCTTCCTGAGAGACCCCTGGAACTGGCTGGACTTCATGGTCATCAGCATGGCGTAATAATAAAACTGCCTGGACCTTTTCTGTTTTTTATTCTTCTGAAAGCTAAAAACAAATTCTTTATTAAATCCTAAAGTTGATATAGAAATTTGTTTTGTCTGCTGCATGTCACAATTGTGTATAATGATAATATTGCTAAAGATGGTTGTATTGATGAAGAATTTCTCTGTTTTACAGCTACCTGACAGAGTTTGTTGACCTAGGAAATGTTTCTGCACTGAGGACATTCAGAGTTCTCAGGGCCCTGAAAACCATCACAGTAATTCCTGGTTAGTATGTCTGTTTCATTTAAAAAAAAAGTACATTCTTTCTGGTAGGATTCAGGATTTGGCTTTGATCTGTAGGACTTCAGAGGTAGGAGAAAATGGTTCCTGGTATCTAAAGGCACAACTTCTTGGGTTCTTATCAAGATAAAGGGCCAATTTCACAAAGCTGGTTTAATCAAACTCAGACTCAAATCCTAAACTTTGAATTGAGTTAGCCTAAGGTTGGAAACTCTGAGTTTTCAGTTTAGAACGGCTAAGTTAGTTTAATCTACACTAACTGGGTCCGCTCAGAGTTGAACACGTGTGTAACAAGTATGAAAAGTAATTATCGGTGGAGCTCCGATTCAACGAGTCACCATGACAACAGGCAAGCAGAATTTTAAACCCGAGTAGTGCCGGACTTTACACGAGTGAATAAAGTGAATGTGATTGGTCGTTTATCAAGAGGGCAGGATTTTTGTGGCGGAAGGTTCACAAGCACGTTTGTTTGTGGCCGGTTTGTCGGAAGCATCTTGCTAACCAGTTAGCAACTTAGTGCTAGCAGGTTCCCAATGGGAAATTCCATTGGGACCAAGTAGCACTAAATTGGTGACTTAGAAACGACGCTGTCAAGGAACGCTATGGACAGAGGAAACATGCAAGAGGAGGAGAGTTTAGTGTCGGAGGTCGTGGATGAGTCTCCTCCGTCATCCATTTTTTATTTAGAGGAGGAAAGCGGGGACGAAGATGTTGTGGAAGAGGACGCCAGGGCGGCAGAAGCTTGGTTTGGTGTAGAAGGCTTCCAGCCGTACATGTTTGAGCCCTTGCCTCGCAACGCTGCCAGTTCTGTTAGCTCTACGCCTGCTGAAGACACAGACGTCCATCCCCGTGAACACTGGGACGATTGTAATTGGATGAGTCATATAACGCAAACACTCATTGGTTAGCTAAAGGAAGCCAGCAGGTGTTCTTCAAACAGCAAACGCGACTTGTCTATGCCATGCTACAATGTCAGATTCAGAAAAAGATGTTGAAATGTTGAAAGGCCGGACACAGGCGAGAGCGTATCGGGAAGTGGAGACCTCGATCATCCTTGGCCCTATCTCAAAGAATTTAGTCGAAAAAATTTAAGCTTTCAATTCATATAGCGGCATCTGGCTGTTTTTTTTTAAAGGTTACTTTATACTTTAAGTAGTTTTTGGAGCACATACCTTTTCACCTTTACTTGAGTAAAGAGGTCAAGTTGATACTTCAACTTTTACCAGAGTGTTTTTAAACTGCAGTATCTGTACTTCTACTTAAGTAACAAATGTGTGTACTTTTGACACCATTGCAAAAATGTACTGACTAAATCAGGAAATAAAACTATGTAATCAGCTCTAAGGAGAGCGGAGACATGAACAAAATCTGCTCACAACCACTTTAGTTTTGGGGTGAATGTTGCTACGGAAACAGAAGAGGATGAGTAAACTCTCTCTTTGTAATGAAAAACTAGTTTCCCTGATTTCAGGTTTGAAAAAAAAACCCTAGTTTCAAGTAAAACCTGCTTTGTGAAACGGACCCAAGGACTACAGCTTGCATAACATACTGTATGGTGAATAGAGACAGTACAGTATTATTTTTTTGGGACACTATGAAAGATCTAGGTTTGTTCTAGTTAACAATATAACATTTCTATGTCCTATACCATCACACAAGTTTGGATGAAATATTTCTTAAAATGCTTACAAATTATTATTGAGGTCCTACCAGCCGATGGATAAATTGTGAGACTAAACCTGTCATCTCTCCTCCATAGAGCTTGAAATAGATTTTTTTAAATTATAGAATCTTGTAAAAATTGGATGATTTATTAATTTAGACTCAAATATTTGTAAAGATTGATACAATAGTAGCCATTCAAAATGTCCCAACTTTCCTTGATGGGCCCTTCGCTGGTCCCCTACCATTCCTTTTTAAACATCAATCTTTGTTCTAAAATATTCTTACTGTCATGATATGTGGACAATAAGATCCAAAGAGAAGCGTCATCTCCTGGTCAAAATATGCCCAGGAGAAGGAAAGGTTCACTCTAGTACCTGGAAGATGGCTGCCATACGGCTGGCGTTTGACTTGGAAGGGCCATTTTGAATGGCTGCTACTGTAATCATTTCTGACGATGACAGTCTAAGTTGGCACAAAATCTTCTGTTTTCTAACTCTCCTTGCAGGGTTGAAGACAATTGTCGGAGCTCTCATTCAGTCCGTGAAGAAACTGCGAGACGCCATGATTCTGACAGTGTTTTGTCTCAGTGTCTTTGCTCTGATTGGTCTTCAGCTTTTCATGGGAAATCTTAGACAAAAATGTGTTCTGATCCCATCAATGTTACGCGATAACCAAACATCAGAGGAATCCTTTAACATCAGTCTCTACGGAAACAGCAGTGGCGATTTTGATTTCTACAATCACATCAACAACCCAGGTAGCACATTGAAGTTGTTTACTTATCAAATCATACTCCTGCACCTGCTCAGGTACTAACATCAATCTGTCTGTGTTTAACAGAGAATTATTACTACCTGCCTGGTGCACTTGACGCTTTGCTGTGTGGAAACAGCTCTGATGCAGGGTACCTTCAAATCAAATGGTCAATCTCAATATTAATCTTGTAATTGAAAATGTTGATAATGATGCTGATGATATGTTTAGGACCTGTCCAGATGGCTACATGTGTCTGAAAGCAGGGAGAAACCCAAACTATGGTTATACCAGCTATGACAGTTTCAGCTGGGCATTTCTGGCTCTGTTCAGGCTCATGACTCAGGACTTCTGGGAAAACCTTTTTCACCTGGTCAGTACCAAACTGCTCCCTAATGCAGAGGCTAGTCATTGATAACTCCTCAAGCCCCTGTCACACCATGCCGATTTATCCAGCATATGCCTAACATCCCAGAATCTTCTAAAAAGCAGGCATTCGCTGAACTTTCTATGTATTTTTTCAATCTAGGGCATATACATAGCGTATTCATTACGAGTCCAGAGTGTATGTCCAACGACAGTCTAACTTATGCATAATGTACAGCAGCATAATGCCCATGAAATGTCTCAAGCCAGTGTCCTGAGGGGGGCAGCAATGCGCTCGGAGGTGCCTGCATAAAAAAAAAATGTATAAAGAAAAAGAAAGAAAGAAGGTTTGCAGTTGTAGCAGGTTTAGTGTAACCTGACTCCGCCAGATGGATTTGCTCCTCATATCCATCTGGAAACCTTCCATTGAAGTAATTTTGGGAAGGGGCGAAAATACTGGTTAGCTGATTGGTCTATGTTGGTGATGGACGGGCAAAATAAACCAATCAGATCAACGAAGCATATGACGTACTAACAGAGCGACGACGAAAACACAACCACAAGCCAGGCTACTCTTGGCGAAACCAGTCGGGAGAAGAGCAAAAACATCTTTTCCTCTGAGAAAAGCCTCCAGAGCAGTGTTTTGCTCTTCTTTCAGTGAAGAAATACTCTGTAATTCCAATAAAACTTGCTCGATAGCCACGCTAACGCTAGTTTCATCTTTAGACTGAACTGTCGCGCTTCTCGTTGCGTCACACCTCAACCCGCCTCAAAGCCAACGCTGATTGGACGTTCGTTTGGTGAACGGCTCCAAATTTTCTTTAACGGAGAGTCTCCAGACTGATCTGCTAGTGAAACCTTGAAAGCTTGCGAGATCAGGATGGTCTCACGAGGCTAGGTTCAGTGTCTTGTCTGCTAGGAAGTTTGTTGGTCTCGCAGGGAGGGATCCATCACATTCACCCTCTCGTTGGCTCTACAATTGGAACACAAACAAATTGATGAGATCATGCTAATGTTGGAGGACAGCAAGCATGCATATGTATTCCAGTCTCAACCTTGCTGGATCCTCAATCTCTTGTGAAACATTTGAAGTCTGGAGGAGAACAGAGGCTTACTCTTGGGAACTCCCTTTTATACCAAAATGTTGCCAATACGCCATTACATAGTAGCTGTAAATTAGAAACACATTCAGCGGTCGTCTGGAACATGTCAGATACATTAATAAATACATAAATTACGCAAAAGTTATGCACAAGTTACTCATAAGTTTTGGATAAGCTAGACGCCACAACTTATGAGTAGCTTAAATTTAACACGTCAACGATCAGATAACTTATCTGTAACTTATGTCCCACATATGGGCATGTGCTGGCATACGTCGGACTCTAGACGTAATTGTCGTATGTTGACGTGTGCCAGCGTGTTTCAGCGCACTTCAGGGTACTTCAGCGTGCTTATAACTAATACAAAACTGACCCATGACTTATCCAACGTATGCTAGTGTTTTTGCCAGATTTTTCATACGTCAGGCATACGCTGGTTAAATCGTCAAGGTGTGACAGGGGCTTTACTTTGGATAAGCCAAAATGGCTGGTTAAATTAGGGAACATAAGAACTGCTAATTAGAATTTCAAAATCAACAAACTTACTTTTAGTGAAAACAAAAATGTAGATAGTGTTGATGACTATGTGCAAGAGGTGAGTTATGTAGCCAAAGTAGCATCACCTCTCACCTGTGTGTATCTCTGTAGACACTGAGAGCAGCAGGTAAAACCTACATGATCTTCTTCGTGGTCATCATCTTCCTCGGTTCCTTCTACCTCATTAATCTCATCCTGGCGGTGGTTGCCATGGCATACGCTGAGCAGAACGAGGCTAACATTGCAGAAGCCAAACAAAAAGAAGAGGAGTATGCCCAGATCCTTGAGGCTTTGAAGAAGAGAGAAGAGGAGGTACATTATGATGAAAAGAAGAAAAGAAAACACCCTTACATGATGGTTTAGAAAAAAGCTGATGTTTTTTTTTTTTTTTTTGTTACAGCATGCAGCCCAAAGGGCAGCTCTCTTGGAGAAACAAGACTCTGCATCACAGAGCAATGAGCATGAACATACTACGATGGATGGTACACAGAAACACTGTCCATACTGGCTTTATTCACTCTGAATCTGTGCTTCTATGTTTTTTTTTTTCTGTTTCTGCTCTCTGTCCTTCTCGTTAAGTTGGATGGCTGTTTTGGTTCTGCTGAAGTTCCTTTTTGTTAAAGGGAAAGTCTAATACGTTCGCAGTGATTAAATATATTTAGCGTTAATCAGTTAAAAAAAATTAAAACAATAATTTTCGTCACAATCACTGAGTCTGGGACCGGCCAATTTTGGATAAATTTAGTAACACCTCACTCCTGCCATCTTCCGGCAGTGACGTCACGGTGCGGTAAGCCTAGCACCATTCTCCTCGCTTTACAAGCAAATCAGTGGGAACTACTAGACACATCTAGCCTGACGTAGTCCTACTCAATTCTAGTCAGAATGAGTCTGATGCTGCTCCATAGAGCTGTGATTATGGGGCGTGTTTCGAACGAACCGGGAAAAAAATGCCTCTGCACTCAATTGGATAGACCTACAACCAATAAGAGCAACGGAGTGCTTGACGTATGTTAAGCCACGCATAGTTGTTGTCAACAAAAATCAAAGCGTGCAGTTGCACGCCTAGAATAAGAAGATGCGCGTGAACGGTTTTTGCCGGTGTTGCAAAAAAATTAATTTGCTGTCGGTATCTTCTAGAACAGACCTAATAGCAGAATCTACTCACCTCAACTCTCCAGCGGCAGCCATTGTTGTTGTCACCCAAGCGCGCTTTGGTCACATGGTTGATTACGTTACTGTTGATCATCTGTCCATCATCGTATAAAGCCCGCCCTGACAATTTGATTGTCCCGCCAGATATTGGGCGAGCATACTCACACTACTGTTGAGCAACACCAGACCGAACTTCCCGACCTCAAACTTTGTGGGCGGGACTAATTTCGGAATGGCACCCAGGCTAAGACACATCTGCAATAACAACAATTATTGAAGATTTCCAGAGGACTTCACCATTGAAATTCACCAGAGCTATAGTGAAACTGACATTGCCCACGTGCATGGCAGCTGGATACTGGAATACATCGGGTAAAAGTGAAAAAAAAAGAGTTATTTCACCTTTCCGATTTATGATCCTCGATCATGAATCGGAACTTGAAGGACTTCTAGGACTTGAAGAGGGAGGATTTGCCATCAAACTTCTGGTCAAAGAAAAAACCCGTAATATGTAGCCAACATTTGGAAGAAGAATGTTTTCAAGATGATTTGGATAATAGCGCGTTGTGACAAACACCAGATACAGCACTGGGACTTGATCAACAGCCGATACCGCACCGTGACGTCACAAACCAGTAGGTGGCAGTAGTGTTCTTTGACAAACATGGATGCCTCCAATAAAGCACATTCAAATGAAAATTTCTCCTAATTAAAAACAAGTTTTTTGAAGATTATGTAATAATTTCATATTTAAAGTACTTTCAGAAGTTTGAATTCTGAATATGACCGACTTTCCTTTAAAAAGGAGATGTTTCTCCCTATTCTCTCCTTATGATTGGTCAAGATATGGGTTGCTGTGCAATCAATAATTGGATTCTGCCATCTATTCTCTGTGATAGCATTGTATAATTACAAGCGTTCCAAATCCAACTTGATTAGATTTGATTTAATTTTAATATTTCTGAATTCTTTATATAGAAATAACTGAAGTAAACAGATAAACCAAATGTATTTAGGCTTAATCATTGCAAAAATGATGGAAACCACAGAGATTTGAATGGCAGTGAAGCTGTGGGAAAAGAATATGGTTTCAAAGAAAATGTCCCCTAACTCAGAAGCTTTGTGTTTCAGACTTTGAGGATGACCAGAGGCCGTGTCCTCCATGCTGGTATGTGTTTGCTGATATCTTCCTGAAGTGGAACTGTTGTGGCTGTTGGAGATGGCTGAAAAAACTTCTCTATACTATTGTCATGGATCCATTTGTGGACCTCGCCATCACCATCTGCATTGTACTCAACACCGTCTTCATGGCTATGGAGCATTATCCAATGACTGACGAGTTTGAGGATCTTCTCAAGATTGGAAATCTGGTCAGTAAGGGAGAAACTAAGTAAGAGTCGAAGTTGTGAGGCGTTTTTGTTGCCTGGAAGTCACATGGCATTGGATTTATTATGGTGACGTAATATTCAGGTAGTTATTTAGTAGCCTGGCCAGCCAAACTAACCTAAGCTTTACAACACTGCGTTTCATCCTGAAAAGGAGTAGGTAGGATTTCAAAGGCGGGGCAAACAGAGTCAGCAGAAACCCGTTGGAATCAATTGATGATGTAAAAGAGTGATCTTGCAGCCAGTGCAAGGTGCTGCACTTGGGTTAGAAGTGAATAATTACAAACATAGGGTTAGATTAGGATAAAAAAAAACATTTATCTTACATTGTGTCCTTGCAGGGAACAATATGAGGATGCAAAAAACCCTGCATACAGTAGTAGCCATTCAAAATTTTCCTTAATGCGTCCTTGGCTGGTCCCCTTTTTTCAACTCCTTTTTTAAACATCGTTCTTTGTACTAAAATGTTATTTCTGTCATGATTTGTTGACATTAAGATCTCAAGAGAAGCACCTTTCCCTGATCAGACCTTGTAATTCAGTGAAAGGATGGAGTCAGAGTAAAATAAATATGCACGCCCAGGAAATGAGGGGGTCACTCCAGTTGTTGGAAGTCTGCTGCCATTCTGCTGGTGTTTGACTGGGAAGGGCAATTTTTATTAGCCTCGTGAGACCATCCTGATCTTGCGAGCTTTCAAGATTTCACTCGCTAATCAGTCTGGAGACTCTCCTTTGAAGAAAATTTGGAGCCGTTCACCAAACGAACGTCCAATCAGCGTTGGCTTTGAGGCGGGTTGAGGTGTGACGCAACGAGAAGCGCGACAGTTCAGTCTAAAGAACATGGTGGCTTCAGCCGATGAAACTAGCGTTAGCGTGGCTATCGAGCAAGTTTTATCGGAATTACAGAGTATTTCTTCACTGAAAGAAGAGCAAAACACTGCTCTGGAGGCTTTTCTCAGAGGAAAAGATGTTTTTGCTCTTCTCCCGACTGGTTTCAGCAAGAGTTTGATCTATCAATTGGCTTGTGCCTGGCTTGTGGTTGTGTTTTCGTCGTCGCTCTGTTAGTACGTCATATGCTTCGTTGATCTGATTGGTTCATTTGGCTCGTCTATCACCAACATAGGCCAATCAGCTAACCAGTATTTTCGCCCCTTCCCAAAATTATTTCAACAGAAGGTTTCCAGATGGATCTGGCGGAGTCAGGTTAAATTTTTATATGGCTTCTACTGTATGGAAATGGGAAAGGGAGAAAGGGAAGGGGCAGGAAGGAAATAAAGGGAGAAGATGGGAAATGGGAGGAGACAGTGAAGGTGGTGAGCTTGAGAACACATGTATCTGTAGCTATGGAAGGTATGCTTGAGAGACGGGGGGGAAAAAAGTGTCTGCCTTGACCAAAAGCATAAAGAGTCTCTCATCACATGTGTTTGCCTTCTGGCTAAAACTAAAACAAAAAGCAAGGTTAGTAGGGTATCTTGCGCAAACTTGTTATACAAGTCACTAAACATGGAAAGGGTGGCTGTGATGCTGAGCAGTGTGAGTGAGCCTTCTCAGCTTGGTCTCACATTTAAAACATTCAGTATGAAGACTCATTACTGGTGAGAACTACTGTCCAGCCAAGCAGTCAAATCATAAGTAGCTTTAAGAAATTTGCTTTGCCAGTACCTAGTCTTTGCAAAGTCCGCCTCATGTCTGTACAGATTTTGGGCACATGTCAAGTATGGGGATGTCTTTAGAGGAACAGTTTGGGGTGTTGGATTAAGGTGGCACTTTGAGTTTGCAGGTCTGTATATCCAGTGATTGAAGGTGAAGTCAATGATGGGGGCAAAATAAGGCAGCACGTTACGGTATTTAGGATGGAACGTTCTAGAAAAAGGAATAGGGTAGCATATCACTGTAACAGGATAGATTAACAGGCTCACATAAAGGCAGAGGAATTATCTGTTGTCTGGTATCCGACTCTAGGTCTTTACAGGCATCTTTACAGCTGAGATGGTCCTCAAACTTCTGGCGATGGATCCCTATTATTACTTCCAGGTGAGGATCATATCACTGGAAAAATGACACGGTTTGAATTGTGGTCCCTTGGTTACAGGTCTGGTTTTCTTGGCCACAGGTCGGCTGGAACATCTTTGACAGCATCATTGTCACGATGAGTCTGGTGGAGCTGGGACTGGCTGATGTTCAGGGTCTGTCTGTGCTGCGGTCCTTCAGATTGGTCCGTTCATGACCTTCTCACGATTAAACATTCAACTCAGTCTTTATACTGTTCTCATCTATCTCTGTTCATCTCACCATGTCATGTCTAGATGAGGGTCTTTAAGCTGGCCAAGTCATGGCCAACTCTTAACATGTTGATCAAGATCATTGGAGACTCTGTGGGAGCGCTGGGAAACCTGACACTGGTTCTCGCAATCATTGTCTTCATCTTCGCTGTTGTTGGGATGCAGCTCTTTGGGAAGAACTACAAAGATTGCGTCTGTCGTATTTCAGAGGACTGTGAGCTTCCTCGCTGGCACATGAACGACTTCTTTCATTCGTTCCTCATCATCTTCAGGGTTCTGTGCGGTGAATGGATTGAGACAATGTGGGAATGTATGGAGGTTGCAGGCCAGTCTATGTGTCTAATAGTCTTCATGATGGTGCTGGTGATTGGAAACCTGGTGGTAAGTCTCTGTGGAAGAACTCTTAATAATTCCAGTCTGGTTTACACATTAAACACTTTAAAGGAATAGTACACCCAAAACATGATTAGCCTTCATTTTCTACTCACCCCCATGCTGAACAACACTCTGGAGTACTTTTTTGATATCTCAAATGCATCTGGAGATCTGGGAGGCTTCTTGCTGTCTGCTGACATTCAAATAATGGAGGTCTATGGCGCCCGAGGCAGAAAGGTCCATAAAAGTCCACAAAAACGTGTCAATATTCCTCCATACTGCTCGTCCAATGTATTCCAAGTGTCCTGAGTGGGTAGCATCCAGAATTTACTCGAAACGAAGTAATTTAGAATGTTTTTAGAGCATAAACAGTAGTGTATAGGATTTCCTGAAAGTGCGCACCTGCGCGTTCACGACGCTACGGAAGCCGGCAGACCAAACCAGCGCATTCAGCTCGGCAAAGAACTCATGCTCTTCCTCAACACTGAAGTCCTCAGACATTTTTTTTTCGTTGTTTCTTTCTTTGCACAGGTAAACAGCACATTTCTTCTTCTACGCTTGCATTATCGGCAGAGCAGACGCTGAATGCGCACTTTCATCTGGTTTGGCGTGCCGGCTTCCGTAGCGTTGTGAACGCGCATGTGCGCGCTTTCAGGAAATCCTATACACTACTGTTTATGCTCTAAAAACATTCTAAACGACTTCGTTTCCAGTAAATTCTGGATGCTACCCACTCAGGACACTTGGAATACATTGGACGAGCAGTATGGAGGAATATTGACACGTTTTTTGTGGACTTTTATGGACCTTTCTGTCTCGGGCACCATGGACCTCCATTATTTGAATGTCAGCAGACAGCAAGAAGCCTCCCAGATCTCCAGATGCATTTGAGATATCAAAAAAGTACTCCAGGGTGTTGTTCAGCATGGGGGTGAGTAGAAAATGAAGGCTAATCATGTTTTGGGTGTACTATTCCTTTAAGGTAAGAGAATGTTCCTCATTCCAGGTCCTAAATCTCTTCCTGGCCTTGTTGCTGAGCTCATTCAGTGGAGGAAGCCTTTCAGCTTCGGATGATGAAGGAGAAAACAATCTCCAGATTGCCATTAACCGGATTAGCCGAGGTATAGCCTGGATCAAGGCCTGGGTTCTGAAGCATATCTGGACTCTGGTTGGAAAAAAGAAAAACGTGAACTTAGACCCAACTGGTAGGAATATACATTTTTAATGGATACATAATAGAGTAAGGTTTGCTTTCTGGCTTAAAAGATGTTATTATTGCTTTGTTTTTGTTATTAAAACTTTTTAGCTATAACCCCTGAGGAAAGCGACAAATCAAAGGAGGTTTTTGATCTGACAATCATGACTTCAGAACAGCTGATGTTACAAGTTCAACCCTCCAGGGACGACGCGTCCAACCTAAGCAGCTACCATTATCACATAGCATCCTTGAAGGTCCCTATTGCCGAGGCTGAGTCGGACTTTGAGATGCATGAAAATGAAGATGATGATGAAGACGACGATGAAGATTATGATGAAGATGATGATATGGAAGAACAGCTCCTACAAGTAAAATCTTGTGTTTCTGGTTTTTATGAGAGAACTATACTTCGTTGCATTTATATTTTCAGTAGAAAAATAACCAAGTAGACCTTAAAGTGTATTCAGGAAGAGTATTTTAATAAAAAGGATGTGGACGCTAAGATCTTTCTTTGCTCAGGATGAAGAGACTTCGGTCTGCAGCACTGTACAGAGAGCTCCTGAAGTCCTAAAGGTAGAGGAGGAAGAGGAAACTCCTGAAGACTGCTGCACAGAAAGTAGGCGCACTGACTGTAAGATAAAGTTATTGAATGTGATTATTTAGTTTTCACCTGAAGGTTAGTAAGGTTCAAGAACTCTAATAACTGTACCATCAAGTTGTCTGCATTTAGGATTTGAAGTCAGAAACCTGCCAAAAAGTGCACAACTATAACAGAAACTGATACAAGCTGTTTTATTAAAAACATTTAGGTAGCAAGTAAAAAAACAACGCTCTATGCGCATCTTGAACCCTTTATGTGTGCATATTGAATACCATGAGACACCCATTATGTCAAACTTATGAGATCGTGATCCTTCTCTGCATTCTGGGCTTTCTTTTTATGTGCCTGTGCATCATATCAACTTCTGACACTTTTAGGGTGGACACAACCTGAAAAACTAAACTAAACTACCTGGCTACTTTTCAGGAAAACCTCGCCCTGTTTTTATGTTGCTCATTCCATTTAGTTTTCTCGTTGCTGGATTTTCCATAGCTGTTTTGAGTTTCTCATTATTATATATATTTTTATCATGCATCTGCCTTTCCCTACTGCTGTTTAATAATAAAAATAATTTAAGCTTATTGATCTCATATTGGAGAAATTTATCTCTGCATTTAAAGGGTAACATCCGTTTTTTTACATTGGGCCCTTGATTTTACGTTATTACGACATGTTCTACTCACCCCTATGAGTTTTGTGTCATTTGGAGCTGTTCTGAAGATATTCAGTTTTGTTATATTCAAGTAACGTCTTCCTATGGGCACACGACTTGAAGGCACAAACTAAACTGTTCATAATTTATTCTAACTGGTACACCAACATTCATGACATGTAGGTGAATACCTGTCCCCCAGACATCCGCGGTTATATTTTTTATATTTATATCTTTTTAAAATGGTGGTATTGGTATCGTCGAGTACCAACAAATAGGGCACAGATTCTATTTTGAGACGCAAAACTTTATTCAACTATTTTCACCCATTCCAGGTAGGCAATAAAAAGTTCTACTGGATTCACTTTATATCAGTCTTTTTCCTGCTTCACAAAAGTAAGCAGCTTTACAAAGCCATGATGGCAATTACTTCACATCCAAGTAGTATGCAGTTCTCCATATATACACACACACACATACATTTAAAAAAGATGGTATTGGTATGGTATCAGTATCGGCCGATACTGCACAGCCAGGTACCTGGGCCAAAAAATGGCACTGGTGCAAAACCAGTTAAGGGTCTTGCTCATGAACTCAGAGTGGAGGCTGTGGGGATTGAACCAGGTACTTGCAAACTTCTCAGAGCACAAGCACACTGCACTAGCCCACTAGGAGAAAACTCCCCAACACTGCTTGGATCTACGACCACCTCTATAGATGACAGAATAATCAAGTGAAAACAAGGACTCAACGACAGGTATCAAGCAGCAGTAATCTTAATCCTCGAGGCTCCAGGCTGGCAATTCTTTCTGGAAGCAACAGAGGCACTAAAGAACCTCTTCAAATCGTCAGTGCAGGCTTTCACGTTGGTGTTGTGGATCCTGTGATAAACAGCAAAGTGAAGAAAGCCTCTAAAGTCAATGACTCAAGTCTCTGCTGTCATTTTCCTATGTTCTCAAATAATGGTGGTTTCAGATAAAGTTGGACCTTCCTTGTGCTTCTCTGTATGACAAGGCTGATCGAGTCTGGATTAAACACTGAGAGACAGAGCCAAGTGTATTACCTAGAGCTGTTGACAGCAGTATCTCAGTTGGTGGCTCCCTTCAGCTTAACATGTGTCGCAGCTTAAAATGTCAGGCTAGATACACACTACATTTCTAACATATTAGCTAACGCATCCAAATATTTGAACCATGCTCCTGAAATTTCACAAATACTTAGTTCAAAGGAGAAAGGGAAAAAACACCAGACCAGATCTACACCAACAGGGTCTGAGCGTGTCCTTTTCCCTCCTCTAGGACACTCGGATAACATCTCCCTGTTCCCGACACCAGTTTACAAGCCTCTCAATTACAAGTCTCATCCACAGTATACACTATAGCAGGGATGTCAAACTGGTTCCAGAAAGGGCCGTGTTGCAGCAGGTTTTCTTACCAACCAAGCAACAGTACACCAGACTCCTTTCATCTCATCAAGTCATCATGTTAGGACTGGACTCACTTGATGAGTCTGGTGTGCTATTGCTTGGTTGGAAAGAAAACCTGCAGCCACACGGCCCTTTCTCGAACCAGTTTGACATCCCTGCACTATAGCATCGCTGGACTGATAAAGACACATTATCTTTGGTTTTCTGTTTTGGGGACAGTTGGAATTATCCCAGGCACTAGTGACATGCACTTTATTGTGAAGGAACCCCGGCACCAACCACACACACAACACTAAAGACAAATGTGTGAAAGACATTCCACAACATTCAGCTCTAAGCCTGGACAAAAAGTGAAAAGAAACTCCCCCCAACATACTGTTACGCATAAGGAGGAAAGGCACAGTCTAGAACTTCCTTATTTGTACAAAGTAAAATTATCAATGTCTGTCTCAACTCTTATATCCTCTACACATCATATGATCCCATAAACTCATCTACTGTATGTTTGAACTTATTTGTTTGTGTTTTTGTTTTAGAGTGTTATGCTCGCTGTCCATTCCTGGATATAGACACGTCCGAAAACAGAGGAAAGTCTTGGTTTAATTTAAGGAAAACCTGCTTCAACATTGTAGAACACAACTACTTTGAGACGTTCATCATCTTCATGATTCTGCTGAGCAGTGGCGCTCTGGTAAACTCAAATGTTTAATATCACAGATATATGCATTTTAGCACTAACTGACCATAATGTCCTGTTGTGGATCTATTCAATACCTTAGTTTTTTACTTTGAGACTTGTTCTGTTCAGTTGTCAGTTGGTTCAATGGGACTGAGATGGGGAAACTAATCTAATGGTTGGTTTGGCTAGCTGTGGACGCCAAACATGCTGAAAGTGTGACTACTAACTTGGCTGCTAAGTATGCACAGGTGAGATGAGCTGATAATCAATACATCCCCTTCTAAATGGAGAGAATGACATGAATATTAGAAAAGCCTTGTAGAGGTTTGTACCAATTTGAGTACCATCTTACCCTTTAAATGAGTTCAACACAAAAATATTCTTGCTTTAAGCCTTTTTTAAAGCATCCAGCATAAAAGAATCTGACTTTCAAAAATCAAATAGCTTATAAAATCTACTTGCAGATAGATTATACAGTTAATGTGCAAAATGCCAGACAGATGACCCAAAATGTAGCCATACACAAGTGAAAAATTATTAAAAGATTTGTTAAAAGAAACTGCTCTCCTTTTGAGCAGGAAACTGCTCATAGGAGAGTCAGGAACCTCTAAGAAGGAGAGATCGGGTTAGTGGTTGGATTGATTCTTGATTTTAACAGTTCAACCAAAAAAGCAACTAACCTTTTCCGAATCCTTGAAGAGGGGAAGGAAAAGGTTGTAGGGTCCTCTGTTGATCTCAGAGCAGCTATTATGTCACTGCAGGCTTGAATCGAGAGCAAGTTAAGTCATGTTCGAATTAGAAAGGTAAACAGAGTAATGCAGGCACCTGTTCTGAAGCAGGTTCTCTGCTTTTGGTTTTCCATGGGAGGAACAGAGCTTGTTGATCTGGATACAGAAAAAGGGTCAGAGCCGATGGAACAGGAAACAGGAAAGGTGGGAAAACTGAATTTTGGAATAGAATCAGGGTTAGTCCTTGGAGGCAGAATCAGGCTAAGAGATCATCGGAATAGGCTAGTGGCAGTGGTCAAAGGGCAGAAACATTGTTGATGTTCAGAAGTCAGATAAAAAACGCCATGAGGTCAGATGAGAGCAAGACATAGGTGAGAAAGTCCTGAAGCAAAAAAGGTGATCAGGTGACAGGGAGGGAACACTGGACATTTACTTACCCTGGGATTTCAATAATCTGGCCCTATCAATTAGTTTGGTGTTTGCTTAAAAAGGCTGAAACACAGGTGTGAGGAATTTCCACTGATGAGAGTGAGCAAGAGCGTCACAGGTAGATGAGCTTTCAGAGCGAAAGTCAGAGAGAAATTTGATCAACAATTAATTGACATGCCAGAATCATGACCTAATTGGCCCATCTCAAACTATCCCTCAAGAAACCTGCTGACCGTTGAGTGTAAATGGCAAGCAACTGAACCGGACCATGCACGACACAACCGAATCACGCTAAATCTAGTACTAGTTGAACAGTAAGTCTTGACGCAGTTCAGTTTTAGCTCGTTTTCTGATAACAAAGAGCGCATGAGCAGACGGCGTCATCTCTTTACAGTCAGCTTCCAGTAGTTTGTGGCAATGCATATAAGTTGCTTGCCAACCGGCATAAAATAGAGGAAGGAACACTGTAAACAACAATCGAAAACTCCTCAACACTACATTTTATAAAATGGCTTCAAAAGAGCGTGGTGCAACCTGGAATGATGCCGAAACTGATGCAAAAAACTAAATATCACAATTATAACTAAACATAACATCACGAATGTTACAGTTGCCGCCATTTTTATTTGCTTGATTCCCTCCTTCAATCCCAGAGAGCAGTAGTACATTAGATCGTCACAAGGAGGCGAGGAACAGTGCTAGTGTTATTTTTAAACGGTTGTAAGGTACCAAGCTCGGTACAGGTTCTTGATCCAAGCTCCGTCCGAGCTCGACACAGATCGGTTTTAGAGGGTAGTGTAAATGGCATAGCGACATTTTCTATTTGGTAATGAGCTTAGAGTCATTGAGTTAAAAGCTATCATTGCCGTCACTCTAACATTCAGAGCCTGCAGATTTATTGTACAAGAGAACTCTTGCTTGGTCAGCCTAAAATACCTAATATAGCTTCTAGTCAAAAAGAAAATTTTTATAAAATTGAGTCTGTTTTATACCTAAATCAGTCTTTCAATGTATTTTAGCTTTGGCAACGTCTATAGGTCCAGAAATGTGTCTTAGGTCATCTTCCCATGATTTAAGCTTGTTTGGACTCATCAATGCGGGTTTGGTACCCATTCTGGTATATAACGTCATCATCACCTGTGACAGAAAATTAATGTAGCATATGGGATTTATTCACTAACAACCTACTTAAACAGTTTTTATGTTTTATATTTTAGCCAGTGAACACTTGTCAAGGTGTTTATCATAAATATTCTTAACAGGCATTTGAGGACATCTACATTGAGCAGCGCCGCATCATCAAGATCATTCTGGAATACGCAGATCAGGTTTTTACTTACGTGTTTGTGGTGGAGATGATCCTTAAATGGGTTGCCTATGGATTCAAGACCTACTTCACCAATGCCTGGTGCTGGCTTGACTTCCTCATTGTTGATGTAAGAACTTGATCAATTCTTCTCTTCGGGGCATTTCTTTAAGGCTGTTACATTCTCCACAAGACATTCACGCTTGTTCTCAAAGAGGCAAGAACAAGAAAAATGTTTGTTTTGCATCCAACAATTACTACTCCATAGAAGCTCAGCTGCCAAAGTCCAACCCTCTATAACACACGATACAGAAAATAGATTGAGAGCAGAGGGAAAGCTGAGCACAGAGCACGCGTAGAGCTGAAAGTAAAGGAGCAGACACAAATAAGAGCTCACAGTGTGCTCTGGTGCATTTGTTCTAACCACTAGAGTTCAACTCTGCAACTACACTGTTAAGGCTGGTTTATACCCAGAAACCAGGTTATCTGTGTGTGTGTTGCAGTGAACGCTAATGTGCCCCCGCTCCTTCCGCAAACACTTTGGTGTGCCTTTCCAAAATTGTAGGTGACCACAGACAGTGCCACAAACAGGAGGCCTCTGATTGGTCAAATCTACATGCACCCTACACTAGGCGTATTTCCTGTTTGGTACCTTACCGTCTCATTTTGTTTTTATGACCACTATTGTGGAAAAAGACTCATAAAGTTGGACCAGCTAGAAGAGCGAGGTGTGTGAGGACGCTGGGGCCCTTTTTCCACCTGGATCCGCGCTCTTTTTAGCCCTTTTATTCCTCCGTTGTCACACAAACTTGCCCCCACTTCCTCACTCTCTCTGCTGTATCTAGACCCACAGGAAGTTCATGATTTTTCCTCTTGCATTGTGGCGTTGAACAACATAGCACAGACCATGCTGCGATCTTGTGCATAAATCAAAAATATGTGCAACAAGCTCACTGCAACACACTGCTGTAGGACTATAACCAGCCCTTAAGGGTTAACAGATAAATACGGCACCTCTGCTTTTCCACCCCTAAATGCTGCTATCTAAATCACGTCTAATCACAGAACAGTAGTTGGCCAAAAAAGTATTTAGCCTTACAAAAACATTTCTGCCCAGACATTGTGTCAAGAACAAGAAGCAAGACCTGTAGAACAATGCTAAGAGGAACATAAACAGGAACATAAAATGCCTTGGTTTTTGTGGAGGATGTAGGAGCCTTTTAAATAAAAGTTTAGCTCATCTGTAGAAATTGTCTTTCAGGTGTCTCTAGTGTCACTGACAGCAAACATTCTGGGATACTCTGAGCTAGGAGCTATCAAGTCCCTGAGGACTCTGAGAGCACTGAGGCCCCTCAGGGCTCTGTCTCGTTTTGAGGGCATGAGAGTAAGACAGTGCTCAAATTGTAAAAGATGGACCAACAACTTTCCATTTTTGGTTGGTTTAATGTTTCACTTACTGCTGCTTCTGTTGCCATGCAGGTGGTGGTTAATGCATTGGTTGGTGCCATCCCCTCAATATTCAACGTGCTGCTGGTCTGTTTGATCTTCTGGCTGATCTTTAGCATAATGGGCGTGAACCTGTTTGCAGGGAAGTTTTCTTACTGTTTCAACCAAACATCAGAGGAACTTTTCTCCCCTGAAGAAGTCAATAATAAGACAGAGTGTCTTGCTCTGATTCAGCAAAACTTTACAGAGGTCCGCTGGAAGAACACCAAGATCAACTTTGACAATGTAGGGATGGGCTACCTATCGCTTCTCCAAGTGGTTAGTCAGAAATCCTACACAGGAAGGAATTCATACTGGTTCACTTACCAGATCAGACTCACAGGACTTTATTATTGACAGAATGTATGTTTTTGTATCTTTCAGGCAACTTTTAAAGGTTGGATGCCCATCATGTATGCAGCAGTGGATTCTAGACAGGTGAGAACCTCTTGTACTCGTACTGTTTCTGGGGATAGTACCTTTATTGCAAGTAGAACTTGAGATTTAAATGATATGGTATGGATGCTATAACCAGATGTTTTACTAGGGATGGTACTGATGATGAAATTGGTGAAAATCTCCCTGCTATATTGTTATCCCTTCTGAGGTCTAACTCTTTTGTCCCTGGTTATCTGGTTGGATTAGGTGGACTCCCAGCCAAAATATGAGGACAACCTGTACATGTATGTGTACTTTGTGTGCTTCATCATCTTTGGCTCCTTCTTCACCCTTAACCTCTTCATTGGAGTCATCATTGACAATTTCAACCAACAAAAAGCAAAGATAAGTCTTAGCTCAATGTCCCCATGAATGGTACCTGTCTCTCTATTTCAACTATTTAACATTTATGTTTTGGTGTTTACCTTGGAGGGACAGATATATTTATGACAGAAGAACAGAAAAAATACTACAATGCCATGAAGAAACTGGGCTCCAAGAAGCCTCAGAAACCTATTCCTCGACCCACAGTGCGTTCTCTGACCTTCTGTAGAGCTTCAGGAGAACTAATCTATACATAATGGGGTTTACGTAGAACTGGTTTTAACAACAACATTTCTGTGTCTTTTTAGAACAAGTTTCAGGGTCTGATCTTTGACTTTGTGACCAAACAGTTTTTCGATATCCTTATCATGGTCTTGATCTGCCTCAACATGGTGACGATGATGGTGGAAACAGATGAGCAGAGTCCTGAGAAGGAAGCCATCCTGTACTGGGTCAATCTCATCTTCATCATCATCTTTAGCACAGAGTGCTGCCTCAAGATGATTGCTCTGCGGAAGCACTACTTTAATGTCGGCTGGAACATATTCGATTTTGTAGTGGTTATATTGTCTGTTGCAGGTGAGGAAGAATCAGATTTTCTATTTTTTAACAGACTTGATGGCAGCATAAAGTATGTTCCTTAATTCTAGGGGGAAAAAACTATGTTCTGTCCTTCTTTCTTGTATCCTTTCTATCTCTCTTAGGTCTCCTTCTTGCGGATATCATTGAGAAGTACTTTGTTTCTCCCACTCTCTTCCGTGTGATCCGATTGGCTCGCATTGGCCGAATCCTTCGTCTCATTCGTGGAGCTAAGGGAATTCGAACCCTGTTGTTTGCTTTAATGATGTCACTTCCTGCCCTTTTCAACATTGGCCTCCTCCTTTTCCTTATTATGTTCATCTTCTCCATCTTTGGGATGTCTAATTTTGCCTATGTGAAGAAGGAGGGCATGATTGATGATATTTTTAATTTTGAGAGCTTTGGAAACAGTATGATTTGTCTGTTTATGATCACTACATCAGCTGGATGGGACGGTCTGCTAGACCCCATCATGAACACACCTCCAGACTGTGATCCGGACTTTGAAAACCCAGGTTCATCTGTCAAAGGAAACTGCGGCAGCCCAGGAGTGGGCATGGTTTTCTTCACCTCATATATCATCATGTCCTTTCTGGTGGTAGTCAATATGTACATCGCCATTATCCTGGAGAACTTTAATGTTGCTACAGAGGAAAGCTCAGACCCACTATCTGAAGATGATTTTGATATGTTCTATGAAACCTGGGAGAAGTTTGACCCTCGAGCTTCACAATTCATTCACTACAGGTGAGTCCCAACACATGAATTACCTCATCAGAACCAAGGCCGGGTTTACCTGATAAATATCTGATGTGTTTCACAGTGAGCTGTCAGACTTCTGCGATACTTTGCAGGATCCTATGAGAATTCCCAAACCCAACACCATCAAACTGATACAAATGGATTTGCCTTTGGTTCCCGGAGACAAGATCCACTGCATGGACATCCTGCTAGCACTGACTGGAGAGGTAACATCACACATATCATAATTTCTCTTTAATACAGATGTAGTTGTTGGTTATCTGCAGGTTTCAAAACACCTCTAGATGCATTCTAGTTATTTTTCTCTGGAGAGAAACCCAGAAATGTTTTACTCTTCATATTTTTCAATAATGTGTACCTCTAAGCTTTCTTCGGTCTGGTAGCTTCCACTTCTGTCACTCCAAAGTGTCTCCATTATCAGAAAATAAAGATATTTCCTTTCTAAAACCTTGAACTTTCTAGGCTGCTGCTAAGAATCCCAAAGCTACAGCTCTCTCTAAATATTTTCCAAAATATTGAGGTCTGGAGACGCATCTAATAGCCCCATTTACACTACCCTCTGAAAACCGATCCGTGCCGAGTTTGGACCAAGCTTGGTTCAGTTAACCGTGCTGAGCTTGGTTCCTTGCAATAGTTTACACTACTGGTACTACTGCTCTCTAGAGGTAAACAAGCAAATCAACATGGTGGTACCCGTAATATTCAGGAAGTTTTGTTATAATTGTGATATATCGTTGTTTGCGGAGAGTAAGGCAAAGAAGGCAGCCTTTGATGAATTTACTTGACAGAGTCGGCTTTTGGGAAGTGGATACGACAAACAATAGTCTAATCAGGGATTACAGATGCAGGAAACAACAACGGATGTTGCGGTTCATCACACTGCTAAGCAGAGTCATCACTGGAAATAATTTGACATGGTAGGGAAGGTTATATTTTTTAAGAACATCTGAAGTTTCATGATTACGGAGACTGACTGTAAGGAGATGACACTCTTTGTTATCTGAGAACCAAACTAGAACTGAACAGCGCCGAGCCCTACTGTTGAGCTAATACAAGTTTAGCAGGGTTCAGTTAGCACAGTTTCAAAAGGTAAGTGTAAATGGGGCTAATGACTTTATGCTGAAATGATCTTCTATGGACTTCTTTGTTACCCAAGTGGTTTGCTTTGGGTTGTTGTCATTCCATAATATTAAGGATGGTCCACACAGCAAAATTCTGAAATTTTTAGGTGATCTTCAAAACATTAGAGTCCCCCCACACATGATGATATAACACTAATGTAAGCTGAGAAAAGAAGGGTATCATAAGATTTTATGGTAGATAAACTTGTCCATTGGCCTTTCAATACATAGTGTTCCTTATGGCTAAAGATTGATGCCAACAAATAACATCCCCACCACATGCTTAATTAAGGAAAGAGGCGTTCATGGAAACACTTTGATTTCTTTCAGTTGATTTAGAATAACACAAAAATTTTGATTTTAGTGCCATCTGACACCATCTCTTTATCCCCAAACTTTCTGCAAACAATCAGATGGTCGGGGCAAAGCTTAGGACTGACCCAGACATTTGAATCTATCTCAGGGGCTGCAGGCAGTAAGTCCATCCATTGTAGCAGTAAGCTGTGGGTACCAGTTGTCTTTATATTATATCAATCTCCTTAAACTGAAATTTGGGTAAGAGGGGACGAAAAGCCTTCTATATCATGCTATCAACATTTATAGGATGTGTTTGTCTAGATTAATCAGTGGAGGTTTTTGAGGACCCAAATGCACGACAGAGGTTGAGAACCAAAAAATCCAATAACATCAGGGTGAACGCACATGGGGAGCAAGGAGATGATGGAGCAACAAAACAATAACAACAAGGAACCAGCAAACAGTGACTGAATATGAGGTGTATAAATGGGAGACTGAACAAAAACTAATCAGCAGATTGGGAGCAGGTGTGGACAGAGGCATCTAGAAGGGAGCTAGGGAAAAGGACTGACACAAGAGGGCAGCAGAGGGCAAACAATACCCAAGAACTCGATTGCAATAAAAAATAACTAGAATGACACAAAATGGAAATGAAACCAATAAACTAGAAAACACAGAAAGACATTATTATAACTGAAAATTGAAATTTTAAACAGAACCATAAAGTGCAGAGTCATGACATATCAATTGTTCAAATTTGGGAAGACTCTCATTGCCCCTCTGTATATATTTTCTGGTTATTTTTAGGTTTTGGGGGAGTCTGACGCAATGGACGGTCTGAAAGCAACCATAGAGGAGAAGTTCATGGCCAACAACCCCTCAAAGGTTTTACCCTAATAGCACTTCTGCAATAGTCTATTCAAGTTATTTTAATGTGGAATAAAACATAATTGTGTGAAATGATTATTAACCTTTCTGTTTTCAGAAATTGTACGAGCCAATTTGTACAACGTTGCGGAAAAAACAGGAGGAGTTGGCAGCGGCAGTGATCCAGAGAGCCTACAGGAGGCACCTTCTTCGGCGAGTGCTTAAACTGGCATCCTACAAGTACAGAGAGCGGACAGAAGGACTGCGAGGCGATCCTTCCCCACCAGAGACAGGAGGATTTCTCTGTGAGCGAATGGACCAGCTGTATGGAAAAAGTGAGACACTTTCAGCTGCTTCAGATGAGGACCAGAGCATCCAGGTAGAGCCAGAAAGGGACGTTATCCTCCACTCTGCACCTCTACACAGCGACAGCAACTTTCTACGGGATGAGAGCCTGACCGAGTCGATGATGCAACCTGTCAAAGAAGTAGCAGACTTCCTCAGTTAGCTTCAGCTAAAGATGGAGGTTTCCATCACAGAGATGTGTGCAGACCCTAACCCAATCCTTTCTTCTCCTGAACCCAGATAACGTTTCTCTCTGTTCAAAGCTTTGTTGAGACTTTCAGTTTGACAGAAGAACCACAAGGAAATCACTCTGGGTTCTTATTAATGCAAACAAGGAGAAATTTAATGATGTTCCCAAGCAGCTCTTTACATTACAGCTCACCATCTCAGATCAAATGTATCTTCACTTGTCCTCCCTTGTTTTTTCTTCTCTTCTGATTGGTGGATGTCGATGCAACTCAGCGCTGAAAGATGCTAATTTTTAAAAAAGGTACTGAGACTGAAATGGTAAACACCCAATCAGAGAAGGGCTGGATAAGGGAAGAAAATCTATCTGTGTGCCACTAATTGGCAGATGGTAGGAGAGCAGAAGATCAGATAGTTGGAGCGTCCTCCTAATGTCAAGCAGCCGCTCAGATCCATCAGTTAGAGCACTTTCACCATGTGACCTATATATGCAGAATCAAACTAAAAAGTAAAATTAGTTAATTTGCAGCAAATCCAAAGTTTTTCTTCAGCAAAGGATTTTATTTCTGCATGTCTGTCTTGTTAAGGTTTAATGTTAGGAGCTAAAATATCTCTGGCAACTTCTGGTTGAAGGTGGCTTCTCCTTCTACCAGCAGATCCTTGCCCTTCATATCAGAGGAAAACTGCTCCCTCACTACTGTGGTCACACCTGACTGATGACAAACTTTCTTTTTTCAAAGGTGATTATGACTAACTGTGATGTCATCATAGGTTTCTAAGTTAGCCCTTTTAGCTTAATGGAAAAGCAAAGACGGCTTCTCACTGACAATCAAGTGTTTTCAGAGATTCATTATTAAAACCTTAATCTTAATCTGCTTTCTTTCTTTCTTTCTTTCTTTCTTTCTTTCTTTCTTTCTTTCTTTCTTTCTTTCTTTCTTTCTTTCTTTCTTTCTTTCTTTCTTTCTTTCTTTCTTTCTTTCTTTCTTTCTTCCTTCCTTCCTTCCTTCCTTCCTTCCTTCCTTCCTTCCTTCCTTCCTTCCTTCCTTCCTTCCTTCCTTCCTTCCTTCCTTCCTTCCTTCCTTCCTTCCTTCCTTCTTGTTTCGGGTTTTGTATTTTTTAAGAAACATAAATCGTTGTTGAAACAAAAATGCACTTGAAAAAAAAAGTGCTATTGCCAATTACCAAGTATTTATTGCAAAAGAAAATAATGTTCCTTTATGTGATCATTGTTTTGTGTTATGTTTTTTGATATTTTACTTGCAATAACACCTAAATGATTAAAAGTTCTGGTCTTTATTTCTGGAGTTTTTGTTTCAATGCCTTCCTGTTGGGGAGTTGTGACCTAATGTTTGAAACGGAGCACTTGCAGTCCGAGCAAGCCTGCAAGGATAAAGTTCAGACCTCATTGACCGGCACTCTGAGGCTCCCTGAGCAATAGCTTGATCCCCAATTGTTCTCCGCTGCTCCCGAAGACATGAGTTACATGTTAAAAAAAAAAAAAAAACTTGTAATATACATTTGCAATGACCAATAAAGTTGATTATCATTAATCTCGTAGGGATATCATATTTAAATATTAAATCATTCTGGCTTAAAAAATATATATATAAATGTACTCTTTAGTAGACCCCCCCAAATTTTTTTTTTAAAATTCTGTCTTAAATCTGTGTTTTTTTTTTTCATTGTTATTTTATGCAGGCCAATTAATTATACATCAGCCTGAACACCTAAATTCAGCCAATCAACTGTCATCTGTCAATCAAATTTTTTTGCTAATAGCATCTTGGTATGGTAGCGTTTGGTAGCACTTTTGCAGTGTTTCAGTAGGGAGTAGGCACTTTCTCCTAGTTTATACATGGATTACAGAGTTGTAGTTTAACACACATCTCTGCAGCTTCTCTACTGTTACCCACTCTTTACTCCATCCAGACAGTGTCTTGCCCACGACCAAAATCTAATAAATTAGCAAAGATTCCCAAAGGAGTAAATCATGATAATCTAATTAAAATCAAAATAACTCCAATTGGGGAAAAAGTTAAAACAATTAAATGCGGTCTGTTTAACATAAGATCGCTTTCCTCTAAAAGTCTACTAGTTAATGACTTGATTTGTGATAATCACATTGACTTGTTTTGCCTTACAGAAACCTGGCTGCAGCAAGAGGATTATGTGAGCATAAATGAGGCAACTCCTTCAAGCTATTTAAATTTTCACATCCCCAGAAGTTCTGGGCGAGGAGGAGGAGTAGCAACAATCTTCGAGTCTGACTTACTGATTACTCCCAAAACAATTAATACCTACAACTCTTTTGAACATTTAACCCTTAATTTCCCTGATCCAAATTTCAAGGCAAGAAAACCTCTTCTTTTTGTAACTTTGTATCGTCCACCAGGTCCTTACTCTGAATTTTTAGATGAGTTTTCAGAGTTCCTTTCTGATTTGGTATTAAATACTGACAGGGTCATCATAGTGGGAGATTTTAACATCCATGCTGACATTGAAGGCGATAGCTTAAGAGCAGCCTTTAATGCTATCTTAGACACTATTGGCTTTGTTCAAAATGTGAATAGTCCCACGCATTCTCATCTTCATACTTTGTATCTTGTGCTGACATACGGCATAGAATGTGAAGAAATAACAGTATTTCCTCACAACCCTGTCCTCTCTGACCACTTTCTAATAACCTTCAGGATTACTTTAACAGAGTTCTCCTCCCCCAAAAGAAGGTTCAATTGTAGTAGATCTTTATCAGATAGTGCAGTTATAAATTTTAAAGAATCTGCTTCACTTTCTCTCTCCTCTGTGTCACTGAGCAGTGCTGCAGAGTGCAAAAGCTTAGCTTATTCCCCTTCACAGGTTGATGATTTTGTTGATGGGGTTGCTAGTTCTCTGCGTATTGCCTTAGACAACGCAGCTCCTTTGAAAATGAAAACCGTTAAAAATAGAAAGCTTGCTCCTTGGTTTAATGCAGAGCTGCGTACTTTGAAGCAAAATGCTAGGAAACTGGAGAGAAAATATCGCTCCACAGGCCTGCGAGAGTCCTTCCTAGTCTGGAAAAATGGTTTACTGCTGTATAAGAGGACTCTTTGTAAAGCAAGAGCAGCATAATTCTCCTCATTAATAGAGGAGAATAAGAATAATCCTAGATTTCTTTTTAATACAGTTGCCAAACTCACCCAGAGCCATAGCTCTGTTGAACCGTCCATTCCACCTGCTCTTAGCAGCAATGATTTTATGGGATTCTTTATAAATAAGATTGATCTTATTAAAAATAAGATCATAAGCACTCCTCTATCCGCGATTGTACCTGAGGTAGTCATGGAATCTGAACCGGGTTTAGACTGCTTTGATCCAGTTGAACTCTCTGAATTAGCAAAATTATTGTCTTCATCTAAGCCTTCAACTTGTATGTTAGATCCAGTTCCAACCAGGTTATTTAAGGAGGTATTCCCTTTGATCTCCTCCTCCATTTTAGATGTGATTAATCTATCTCTGTTACAGGGATATGTACCTAAAGCTTTTAAGGTTGCTGTAATTAAACCTCTGCTTAAGAAACCGTCTCTTGACCAAGATGACTTGGTCAATTATAGACCTATATCCAATCTTCCTTTCTTATCCAAAATTCTTGAGAAAGTAGTTGCCAAACAAGTTTGCGATCACTTCCACCATAATGAACTTTTTGAAGAGTTTCAGTCTGGCTTTAGAGCTCATCATAGCACTGAAACAGCTCTGGTGAAAGTCACTAATGATATTCTCATGGCCTCAGATAATGGACTTGTATCTGTGCTCGTCCTGTTGGATCTTAGTGCTGCATTTGATACAGTTGACCATAATATTCTTTTAGAAAGACTTGAATATTTTGTTGGAATTAAAGGAACAGCACTAGACTGGTTTAAATCTTATCTATCTGATCGAATTCAGTTTGTTCATGTTAATGATAGATCTTCAACACGCTCAAAGGTTACCTGTGGAGTACCACAGGGATCAGTGCTAGGACCAATTCTCTTTACTTTATACATGCTCCCAATTGGTAGAATTATTAGACAGCATGGGATTAATTTCCACTGTTATGCTGATGATACCCAGCTATATCTGTCTATAAATCCAGATGAAGCTAACCCATTACATAGATTACAGGCATGTCTTGAAGACATAAAAACCTGGATGACTCTTAATTTTCTGCTTCTGAATGCAGACAAAACAGAAGTTATAGTCTTTGGACCAGAGTCTCTGAAAAAGAAACTGATTAGTCAGTCACTTCATTTGGATGGGATTAAACTGATTTCAGATAATAAAGTAAAAAATCTTGGTGTTATTTTTGATCAGGACCTGTCATTTAAATCCCAGATCAAAGAGGTTTCTAGAATTTCCTTCTTTCATCTGAGGAACATTGCAAAAATTAGAAATCTCCTGTCCAGGGGTGATGCTGAGAAACTAGTCCATGCATTTGTTACTTCAAGGCTGGACTATTGTAATTCTTTACTATCAGGAAGTCCACAAACTGTAGTTAAAAGCCTTCAGCTGATCCAAAATGCTGCAGCCAGAGTTCTGATGAAAATGAAAAAGAGAGATCATATCTCTCCTATCCTGGCTTCTCTTCATTGGCTTCCTGTTAAATCAAGAATAGAATTTAAAATCCTCCTTCTCACATATAAAGCCTTAAATGGCCAAGCTCCATCTTATATCAGAGATCTGATTGTTCCTTATGTTCCTAACAGAGCACTTCGCTCTCAATCTGCAGGTTTACTAGTGGTTCCTAGAATTTCTAAAAGTAGAATGGGAGGCAGATCTTTTAGTTATCAGGCTCCTCTCCTGTGGAACCAACTACCAGTTTTAGTCCGTGAGGCAGACACCCTGTCTACTTTTAAGGCTAGGCTTAAAACTTTCCTTTTTGATAAAGCTTATAGTTAGGGTGGCTCAGGTTATCCTGAGCTATCTCTATAGTTATGCTGCTATAGGCTTAGACTTTTGGAGGACATAGGGACCCCCATTTCATCATTCTGCTTCATTCTCTCTCTGTTCTCCTATTCTGCAGAATCTGTTAGTTCAATCTCTAACCTTCTGCTCTCTCTGCTTTTCCTCAGAGTAGCTTTGCCTCGTCTGTTCCTGTTTGGCTGTGACGTCATCCTGGAAAAAA